ATGCTTGACCCACTGCAAGTCGATACTTTATGCCGATGATACACTCCTTTATTACTCTGCAGAAAGTATTTCCGATCTACAGTCAAAACTCAACTCCGACCTACGATCCCTTTCTGGTTATCTTAACAACAACCTCCTTACACTCAATCATGACAAGACAAAGTTCATCATTTTCGCCGGTAGACAACGCCTAAGATCCATCTCCAACATCAACATCTGTATTTGCAATCGGACGATAAAACAAGATCAATCGTTGAAATATCTGGGCATCACAATTACCGAGAACCTTACCTGGCATGAACATATTGAGAAATTAATGGGGAAAATCAACCAAAGATTGGGATTGCTGCGCCGTGTGAAATCTTTCTTACCGCTGGATGCAAGACAGATTTTCTATACTTCGACAATACTACCGCTATTTGACTATGCCGATGTAATTTGGGGCGATAAAAACAATTCAGCACTCATGAACTCCTTGCAAAGTTTGGAAAATAAAGCAGCTACATTAATACTAGATCTCCCTCCTCTTTCGTCGGCAACCGAAGCTCTCGCTACATTACACTGGTCAACTCTCTCATCTCGCAGATATAAACATCGTTGTATCTTTATCTACAAATGCACTAACGGACTGATAGATTTCGACTTCAATCTCACAACTAACAGCAGAATCCATTCCCACAGTACAAGATCGTGTAACAACCTCCATCTCCCAAAAGTCAACACCAACTGGGGCAAACATAAACCAACCTACCTCGCTTCGAAAGACTTTAACAACTTGGACGTTTCCGTCAGAAACATTGATTCTTTGAGTCAATTTAAGTCTTTACTAAGGTCACATACCATACCATATAACTATTCTTAGCTGTACTTACTAGATATAGTTAATTATTCGTTTCTTTATGTCGTGACGTTGTATATTAATTTAATTGTATATATTTATATAAGTAAATTTTGTTGATGATTGTATCATGCAGGACCCCACTGAAAAACACATTAGTGATGTGGGTATCCTGGATAAATATAATTATAAATAAATAAATAAATAAATAAAAACTGAAATGACTCGACTCGTGACTCGACCTTTGAGTGACTCGACTTGTGACTCGACCTGTAGGTGACTCGTTACAACACTGCAGTTACTCGCCCCTAGTCCCCTTGATGATAAAATCGTCAGAGTAAAATAATAAACTGGGGCGCATGGTGTGGATATACACTCAGAGTAACATAACAAGCATCATATTCACCTGAGTACATTACACCAACACAGAAAAAAATCTTAATGGGTAACTACTAACTAGACACATGGGCAGATAATCCAATTGACATTGAGTACCAGCAATCTTCCCTTGAGTAAAATCGTCTGGCGTCGGACAGAGTAAAATAATAAAGTAGAGCGCATTGGAGTGCAATGCAACTTAATGGGTTAAATAGACACATGGGCAGATAGTCCAATTAAGTCTCAGTCCAATTACTTCCCCTGGCGAGTAAAACCCTCTGGCGTCGGGCAGAATAAAATAATAAAGTAAAGCGCAAGAAGAGAGGGTTTATCTTTCTTTAAGTAGATAAGACGTAACTTCTTTATATATTGTTTATTTAAGATTTTAAGTTGGTTATTTGAATTTCTTAGTCTGCCTTCTTATTTTCAGAATATGACAGTCTGGCAAAGGTAATTGCTAAACAGCCAAACAGAAAAGAAACGACAAGGTATGCTAAATAATAGACATCTCGAACGGGATCTCAAAGGGATCTTATTATGATCCTAGCAGTTCTGTGGGAGGTCGTAGGATTATGTAAGATTCTGTAAAATTCAAATTTTTGCAATAAATATAGGCAGATTGAAAGCTTGGATAAAGAACTACAGGCAATGAAAGAAACACAAGAAACTCTTGCCACAAAGGTACTGTACATTTGAAAAAGAGTCGATCCGACTCAATCGAGCGAGATGGCCCGAAATATTTACCCATAAACCTTAATACCATTGCATCACCTTAGTATATATACATGAACTTGCGGTTAGAGCTGGATAACTGGACTCTGTAGCTCAGTTGGTTAGAGCGCTGCACAGGAATCGCAGGGCCGCTAGTTCAATTTCTGGCAGAGAGCTTATAGTTGCATTTTTCGTAGCTGCTCCTGGTTAGGTCCAAATAAATGTTTAAAATTTATACTCGAAGTTTCCACCTACAAAATCCTTCAACATTAGTTCAATCGAGTGAGATGCCCAAAAATCCGGATATTTGAGAAAGTGTTTGAATGACTTTTTCTGCTATTTTTTGTGTTTCTCGTCACTATTGAGAATTTTATCATTTAATTATAATCATCGTTGTTCACATCTCAATGGAGTAAATATTTTTAATAATTGTTTAGCTTGAGCTGCGAAAGAAACAATTTCATCTTCTTATTCACACCATTCATGAGTTGCAAGAAATGTTAGAAGGTAATCTGCACAGTGCGCATACAGCTATTTCAGTTAAGGTTGTCCCCGAGCAGAGCGGAAAAGTCGAATACGAGCTCGAAAGGCTTGCTGGTAAATGCTAAAAAATTAATGAATTTTTTAGCGATTCCCAGCAAGCCTTTCGCGCTGGTATTCGACTTTCCCGCTTTGATTGGGGACAACCTTAATTGAAATAGCTATATACTGTTGTATTTCTGTTAAATATATTACGACCGTTTGTTAGCTTAGTTGGTTTCAACATATTAGTATACCATGATTTGTTTCTTTTAGAAGACTCCAGTGGTATCAATACAACAAAAGATTCGCAAATTGAAGGTGCCAGTGCTGACGTCATGGATACATCATGACTTCATTTCCTCACGACGAATACACTATTACGTCATCGTATCGATAATATCAAAACGTTATGACGTCACCTTTGTTTCAGACGAAAATTTTGAAACTATTCAAACTAGAAAACTAAGCAGTTTCACTGAAACAAATATTTTATATCGGCCACATTTTTTAAGGTTTTGCTAAATGTTTCAGATCTACAGTACTACATGAGCATATATCAACGAACAATACTGCAGATTCAAAAGTAACTTTAGCTTTTTAAGCGTTGAACAATGCTATCATCGCATTATCCAGTATCCAAACAATTTTAGCATTCGGGAAATGGCAAGCTAATATAACATGGATGTAGCTTTGTTACACAGTATCATCCAATCAATAAGGTTGGACGGGGTTGAGCATTATCCTCCCTATATTCATTCCTTCTAATGTGAATGTTGTTGTCTTCCCAACTCACATTAAAGACATTTGTCAAAGAATGAAATTATATGTCGCAAAAGAGAACTAACTGCTTGGCTACTGGGGAAAAGGTTCAACGTGACTAGAGGTTTGAAAAACATGTTTCTACAGTAATTATTAAATTGGATTTTCTGCAGGCGGTCTGTGCGTAAATAAATAAAAATCACTCATTCGTGTTCTGACCGTCGAGGTGCATGAGGCAGCTAGGGGCGTGGAATATTCATTGAACATTGAGTCGATGGGATATAAAAGCTCTTTTGCCGTTCCTAAAGGAAAACAACCGTTACAGTAAATTTATACGAATATTTTAGCCAAACTTGTGCAGTTGTTTCATCGTGGTAGCTTCACAATAAGTTGGGCGATGATTCGAGTGTGTATTTATATTTAAAATTCAACTTTACAGTCTTCATTTGCTAAACTTTGTAAATTATGAACAATATGCTTGAAACTGTACCATTATAACTATTATGCAAAAGGTTTCTGCGTGTTTTGCCATAATCTATTTAGCCATTAATAATAATTTTTAATGGACTCCTCCTACCTTAATTAAGTGAATACCTCTATCGCTGCGTTAAAGGAGTATAGACTAATTATCGCAGCTCAGAAAATTTTGAGTATTATCCGTATAAACATCATATCAACACCATCATTGGAATCGTAAAATCGCTACGCGGTCCCTGAATTATAACCTTAGCTATCGATCTTACACAGTTTATGAAATATGTATAAAGTAAGTTTCTATATCACTTATTTTAAGTATAATTAATCTTTGGTCAAGCCATCTATGTGTATAGTTTTAATTCAAGTGGTACCTTCTAAAAACCATTAAAGATATACGATAGTTCTAAAATTAGTCCGTTTTTTCTGCTGCTTTCTCCTTGCATTTTTTATCAACGTAGTTGTATAACTTTTCTTGATACAACTTGTGGAACGCGTGTTTCTTTCCATCACTCATGCTGAAGGCTTTCTTGTTACTGGAAGTCTCTTCATTTTCGATTTTAAAAGACAAGTTGTACATCGCAAATACTAGATCTATCTTCTCATTTTTCCTTCTTGTAATAAATTCCAAGGAGAACATTGTAATCTCACCGTTTTCAGACAAATTAAAATCATTGGGACTTCCATGCTTTTCATTTGAGATCAATACGTCAAGAAATGATTTCTTTGCTTTATCTGGAAGGCTGTATCTCTCTTGTAATTCTTCAATGTACTTCTCAAAGTCTTCGACGGGGATTCCTTCAAGAACATCGCACTCCCATTTATCTTTCATTTCTTTGTATTTCAACTTTTTAATTTTTTCGTAGTATTTGTTATCTTCCTTTGTCAATTTGTCAGGTTGGAGCTTATCACGCAGATCCTTAAGAAGTTTGTTAATGGCACGGCGTGTGATAACACTAGGTGAGTCTCGAACACTCATCTCTGTTCACTTATGGAATACACTGATACAGTCTGCAAAAAAATTTCTCTTTTAGCCCAACTTCGTACCCAGGCGGGAAGAGGAAGGAGGGGACGAAGTGCGGGATTAAAGATGAAGGAAAGAAAAGACGAACGAACGATGAGGGGGAGGGAGGTAGGAAGGGAGAAGGAAATAAGGAAGGGAGAAGGAAATCAGGAACGGAGAAGGAAATCAGGAAGGGGAGAAGCACGACGCTTATATATAAGCACCCTTGGGGGGGGGGGGCTTTTATAGACCCGGAGCGAGTGGGATTCAGCGAAATATTGCCCGAAGTGATGGGCTTTGCCCCGAGGGAAATATCACTAAGAGTAATTTCAACGAATCCCCCATTTACGGTATTTCACTCAAATTCATGATTTCGCAATGTAGCGTGAGATACTATGATATCCCACGGCAGATCCACCGTGGGATATTATAGTATCCCACGCTCACGCGTGACGCGGGGCACCACGCTCTGAAACAATATGGCGTTCGCGAGCTGTTGTTTGTAATTTCGTACAGAAGATTTGATTTAACCAAAGATTTTCAAGACGTATTGATCCAAAGGATACATACTCAAACATTTTAAAGAGGAAACGTCGAAAACTCAAGTATACATAAGAAATTAAAAATTGTATTCGCGTAGTTAATATTCAGCAAGTTTTAAAGTTTATTCTGAACTTAGTGAGTTCTTTAACTTTCGGTATAATATATCATTTATAGACCCTCCGCTCGGGGGATTCGGCGATATTTCCCTCAGTGATGATATTTTCCTCGGGGCAAAGCCCCTCGGAAAATATCATCACTTCGGGACATATTACGCCGAATCCCCTTCGCTCCGCCTCTGGTCTATAAATGATAAATATTATACCGAAAGTTAAAGAACCCACTAAGTTCAGAATAAACTTGCTGCATAACTAAGCGAATACAATGTTTAATTTCTTATTTATCCTGAATTTTTGACGTTTTCTCTTTAAAATATTTGAGCCTGTATCCTTTGGATCATTGAAGGTAACATACCCATATAAACAACAGCTCACGAACGATATTTTGTTTTAGCGCGTGTTGTCCACGCGTGGGCGTAAGATACTATAATATCTTGCGGTAGAGATATTCGCGCTGCATTGCGAAATCATGAATTTGAATTCGAAATCATGAATTTTTTTGGACAATTTGAATTTGAGGTATAATATTATTTAATGGCACAATTTAAACAATTATGATAAAAATTCGTTTCTTACATAGCTTCGGGATATTCTGCAACATACGATAAATGATAACAACCCAGATTCACTCTGGGAAGATTTTAAAACAATATTTTTGTTTGTTGCCTACATTCATGCACCTCAAATTACGAGAAAGGTTAAAAGCGAGTACACTCCTTGGATGACAAACAATATTAAGAAATAGATTTATCATCGAGATTTTCTTAAGAAAAAAGCAATTAACACAGGATCTGAAAACATGTTTGTCGCATATAAAAGAGCCCGAAATGCGTTGAATAAACTTATTAAAGACACAAAAAGGAATTATTATACGAGCCTCTAAATGATACGAAAAATAATCCAAAGAATATGTGGAATACATCAAATACAATTAATAAATTAACAAATAAAAAATCTAAGACAACTACGATCACCAAGCTTAACATATCAAATGATGTTACTGAAGATCCAAATAAGATATCACACATTTTTAATACCTATTTTAAGACAATTGGAGAAAACTTAGCTAACGAACTACCAGATACTACCGATGCACCTGAATCATATGTTACTCCTAGTAATTCAACTTTTCAAATACAAAATGTGCCTGAGGTAGACGTATTTCAGTTGCTCATTACATTAAAGATATCCAAAGCTTGCGGACAGGCATGTAGTAAAACATGGACTGGACTCATTAGTAAAACATGGACTGGACCCGATTAGTAAAACATGGACTCTATTAGTAAAACATGGACTCTGTTACAGTGGCGTAATGTCATATCAGGGGGCCCCCGGTTCAAAACTTTCGAAGGCCCCCCTAGTAGAAGTGCCAAAGGCACAAGTCAAGCGCCATATATGCACAAGTTTTTTAGGGGGTCCAGAGCATGCTCACCCAGAAAATTTTTGAATCTAGATTCTCTGAAATACCATTTCCCGGACTTTGGGGAAAGTTTTTACAGAATTCTGATGGTCACAAAATGAAATTGTAACATATCAAAGGCCCTGGCTAATGCTTTTGCTCTATAGCCTGAGCCTGGGGGCCCCCATTTGGCCCATTGGGGTTGGGGGCCCCCGGGTTCTCCCGGTCCGAGCCCATAGTAGTTACGCCACTGCTCTGTTAGTAAAACATGGACTCTATTAGTAAAACATGGACTCTATTAGTAAAACATGGACTCGATTAGTAAAACATGGACTCGATTAGTAAAACATGGACTCGATTAGTAAAACATGGACTCGGTTAGTAAAACATGGACTCTATTAGTAAAACATGGACTCGATTAGTAAAACATGGACTCGATTAGTAAAACATGGACTCGATTAGTAAAACATGGACTCGATTAGTAAAACATGGACTCGATTAGTAAAACATGGACTCGATTCTGCCGCCTGCGCTCCTTCGCCCAGCGGCTACGCTCGTATTCCAAGATCCGCCATGTAGTGAAATGTAACAGGTGGGAAATTTGTCTGCGCATGCGCCAAATATTGCGCGGTTTAAGAGAAAGAGACTTGGGGCGAGTAAATACAGTAATTTGATTTTTGAGCGTTTTATTTGCGTTTTTGTCTAGTTTTTTTTGCTAACCAGAAGATTGTGAATCCATTGCATTGTTGGGAAGGCGAGGAAGGTGTGAGAACGTTTACAGGCTAAAATTATTAATAAAATTGCAACTTTTGCGTAACCTTGTATATCGGAACTGCCTCGGATTTGGGGCGAGTAAATACAGTAATTTGATTTTTGAGCGTTTTATTTGCGTTTTTGTCTAGTTTTTTTTGCTAACCAGAAGATTGTGAATCCATTGCATTGTTGGGAAGGCGAGGAAGGTGTGAGAACGTTTACAGGCTAAAATTATTAATAAAATTGCAACTTTTGCGTAACCTTGTATATCGGAACTGCCTCGGATTCCGATGGAAATGTCCAATAATTCCTACTAATCCGTATTTTTAGGTGAATGAATTATCTCCCAAATTAAAGTATATGTTTTAAGGAGTAGTTTAAACCATATTTGGTTTTGAGGCTCTCGGCTAGATTTTAAAATATTTTAATTTTTTTATTTTATTGTGCTAACCTTTACCCTCATAAATCACCTCCGTATTAAATTGGAGAGAGATGGAAACGTATTCGCATGATTCCAAAACTGCTTATACTTTCTGAATCAATAGGCTCTAATCTTTCAACGAATGTGCTTTTACGAACAGGATTAGCAAACACATGCAATTTCTAGCGGAATATTCAGAGGCACCTATTCAGACTACTACAGACCACATTAGACAGTTGTGCCGTTTTTGGTATCAACCCGTATTTTCATATAAACAATACTTTGATTAGTGAATTAAGAAGTCTTTGAAGAATCATTTAGAGATAGTCTCGTTTTGAGGCTCTCGACTAGATTTTTCACAATCTTACGTTGAAAATTTTGCTTTTTCCTATTTTTAGCAAAATCACGATTTTTGCACTAAGTGTTTTCAAGGATTTAATCATAAATAAACTTTCTAAAGATATTTCTGAGTAGAAAAATGCATTAAAAACAAATTTTAAACCCAACCTGAGTTTATTTTTTAAATTTCATCTGTCCAGGGAGTGAAAACAACTTGCATCTTCGAAAAAAGTTACTTTTCGTCAATATTTCGTCGTAGAAATAAATAGTTCATAATTGTCGGATTTCAGTTTAAAGTCTTTTATCCAGGACATTTTTCAATAGGCTTTGAATAAACGAACTTAAATTCTTGTACAACTACTGTTTTCTTCCCAAACGAGAGGCCTAAAAACTTGTTTTTGCTCATTTTAACAATTTAAAACAAAATTTTCGCTGGCGCCCGCAATTTACTGACCAGCGACAGCAAATTTCCCACCTGTTTTTGTGAAATGTATCTCATCGTAATATTAAATCCTAAGAAAACTAAAGCCTCTGCGGAGGAGAGAGGACTCGATTTAATAGTAAAACATGGACTCGATTAGTAAAACATGGACTCGATTAGTAAAACATGGACTCGATTAGTAAAACATGGACTCGATTAGTAAAACATGGACTCGATTAGTAAAACATTCCTAAATGTAGTTCCTTGTCTGTTTTTTTGTAACAAAAAGAGATCTCATCGATATTTAACGTAAAGTTTCAAGAAGCATCGACCATTGTAAGTAAATGTGGAATAAATACCAAATTATTTACCGACAGCTAGGTAATGCTATATATAGATATAGATGATTTCTTGATTTTTATGTAAACAGAAACACCTTTGCTATTTAACACGTCCACATCGATTTATCCCAGGAGAAACGTAATTTGGACGAGGTTGCGTTGTGTACACTATATTCTTTATAAATATATACTCGATAAAAAGATTCTCCGACAATCCGCATGTTTCCTGCAATACTAATTTACGAATTTTGGATTGATAGTGTCAGACATTCTGACCACCGGCAACCGTTTGCCAATAGTTAAATATGAAGCATTTACATATTTGTTTGCGTGCGAACAACGGCCGATAAATAGATCTGGGGTTGGTTGTATAAATTAAACAAATCTATGAACTATTGACTACAAGCAAACTAAACTTTTCTTTTCTGTCTAAACATAATAACAATGCATAAAACTACTCATTTAGTTGATAAAAATTAAGTTCAAGTACTTACAATACAGTATGTATATTGAGAAGGAATGTTTTTAATTTTTTGCCTATACACCCTTTAAGCCAAACGCCTTTGATACAACCGACCCCTATTCAATTTCGTGTTAGGTTTGTAAGGTGGGGGGGGGGGAGATGGGGTCATCAGGGAAACGT